ATCAGGGTTATATTCTTACTCTGTTATGAGTTTCGGTTTGAGAAATGCACCCGCAACCTTCCAGAGATTGATGAATAAAGTGGTCTTCGGCCTGGAGGGTTGTGCGGTATATTTGGATGATGTTATTGTGTTCAGTGATACATGGGAACAACATTTGGTACATCTCCGTGCGCTTCTGCTGCGTTTAGCTGAGTCATGTCTGACAGTTAACTTGGCAAAATGTGAGTTTGCAAAGGGTACTGTCAGATATTTGGGAAAAGAAGTTGGACAGGGTGAGGTGCGTCCTGTTCAAGCTAAAGTGGCGGCTATTCAACAATTTCCTCCTCCATCAACAAAGAAGGAGTTGATGCGTTTTTTAGGGATGGTTGGGTATTACCGGGGTTTTTGCCAAAATTTTTCAACTGTTGTTTCTCCGTTAACTGATCTCCTTAAGGGTGCTGTCAATTTTGTTTGGAGTACAAATTGTCAGAAGGCGTTTGAACATGTTAAAATGTTGTTAACTGTTGCTCCTGTTTTAGCTGCCCCTAGGCTGGATAAGCCATTTAAGATACAAGTAGATGCCAGCCAGATTGGTGCTGGAGCCGTCCTATTACAGACTGGTGAGAGTGGACTTGACCATCCTGTAAGTTTTTTTTCTCGTAAGTTTAATACTTACCAAAGGAACTATTCTGTAATAGAGAAGGAGGCATTATCCTTAATTTGGGCTCTTCAGCATTTTGATGTGTACGTGGGGGGCGGATTACCTGTGGAGGTTTTTTCTGATCATAACCCTTTAACGTTTTTACACTCTTTACAGTCTCCGAGTCAACGGTTAATGCGCTGGATTCTTTTTTTGCAGCCTTACAGTTTAACTGTAAAACACATCAAGGGAACTGATAACGTAGTGGCAGATGCGTTATCTCGTGTTCCGGAGTAGACTGAATGGTGTACTGTAGGTGTTTTAACAGTTGTTACTATTTTTCTGTGCGCTCTGTTTGTTGCCTTAATATGCTTTCAGGATCCAGATTGCTGGAAATAAATTGAGTAATCTAGGAGATTAGAGGTGACTGTGGGAAAACACTGGTAACACGGGAATCGGACTTCATAAAGAATGTTTTGAAAGGAAAGTATGATTTGTTTATTTTATTTTTCAGATTTTTTTTTTGAGAAGTTCTGAGGATCCTCATAAGATATCGGATCTTTTAAAGGGGGGTGTGTGACGGTTCAATGAGTGTTTGTGCAGTGAGTGCTCGTGTGTTTTGTCCCTGAGTTATAGGCTGATTGCCGGGAGGCGTGGCTTTACACCTGAACCAGATTATGGTGTTTTAAAATACACTGGGTCAAACAGAGACGGGAGTTCGATGGCTCGCGGGTGATGTTGCAGCTCTGGGAACTTCCAGAGAGCTCACAGGACATATGGGTCACGGGAGAGCACAATCGCTTCGGAGAGCTGATGTGATGTACTTCCCCTGCTGACGATCTTCTGATTTGGACTTTTTGATTATGTTTTGGTTATGTTTGGTTGAACTGACATCACTTGAGCTTGCCACGTACAAATACATGCTGACACACTAACTAACATTTATACTGATCCCTTGACACCACATGTTAATTACTTTATGTAAATAAATCTTATGGTTTACGCAGCGATTGTGTGGCGTTTGCGATCTTTTGTTGCGATCTTTAAGAAGAATCGTAACAGTACATAACACAGCGTCAGTGGCATAGCGACATCGACTGTGAATGCGTAGTTAATCAGAATAGCCGGTTGCACTGAGGATACAGGGCAATATATAACGGCATAAATCATAGGCACATATCAATGTACATAACACAGCGTCAGCGGCATAGCGACATCGACTGTGAATGCGTAGTTAATCAGAATAGCCGGTTGCACTGAGGATACAGGGCAATATATAACGGCATAAATCATAGACGTATATCAATGTACATAACACAGCGTCAGTGGCATAGCGACATCGACTGTGAATGCGTAGTTAATCAGAATAGCCGGTTGCACTGAGGATACAGGGCAATATATAACGGCATAAATCATAGACGCATATCAATGTACATAACATAGCGTCAGTGGCATAGCGACATCGACTGTGAATGCGTAGTTAATCGGAATAGCCGGTTGCACTGAGGATACAGGGCAATATTTAACGGCATAAATCATAGGCACATATCAATGTACATAACACAGCGTCAGTGGCATAGCGACATCGACTGTGAATGCGTAGTTAATCGGCATAGCCGGTTGCACTGAGGATACAGGGCAATATATAACGCCATAAATCATAGGCACATATCAATGTACATAACACAGCGTCAGCGGCATAGCGACATCGACTGTGAATGCTTAGTTAATCGGAATAGCCGGTTGCACTGAGGATACAGGGCAATATATAACGCCATAAATCATAGGCACATATCAATGTACATAACACAGCGTCAGCGGCATAGCGACATCGACTGTGAATGCTTAGTTAATCGGAATAGCCGGTTGCACTGAGGATACAGGGCAATATATAACGGCATAAATCATAGACGCATATCAATGTACATAACACAGCATCAGTGGCATAGCGACATCGACTGTGAATGCGTAGTTAATCGGCATAGCCGGTTGCACTGAGGATACAGGGCAATATATAACGCCATAAATCATAGGCACATATCAATGTACATAACACAGCGTCAGCGGCATAGCGACATCGACTGTGAATGCTTAGTTAATCAGAATAGCCGGTTGCACTGAGGATACAGGGCAATATATAACGCCATAAATCATAGGCACATATCAATGTACATAACACAGCGTCAGCGGCATAGCGACATCGACTGTGAATGCTTAGTTAATCGGAATAGCCGGTTGCACTGAGGATACAGGGCAATATATAACGGCATAAATCATAGGCACATATCAATGTACATAACACAGCGTCAGCGGCATAGCGACATCGACTGTGAATGCGTAGTTAATCGGAATAGCCGGTTGCACTGAGGATACAGGGCAATATATAACGGCATAAATCATAGGCACATATCAATGTACATAACACAGCGTCAGCGGCATAGCGACATCGACTGTGAATGCGTAGTTAATCAGAATAGCCGGTTGCACTGAGGATACAGGGCAATATATAACGGCATAAATCATAGGCACATATCAATGTACATAACACAGCATCAGTGGCATAGCGACATCGACTGTGAATGCGTAGTTAATCGGAATAGCCGGTTGCACTGAGGATACAGGGCAATATATAACGGCATAAATCATAGACGCATATCAATGTACATAACACAGCGTCAGCGGCATAGCGACATCGACTGTGAATGCGTAGTTAATCGGAATAGCCGGTTGCACTGAGGATACAGGGCAATATATAACTGCATAAATCATAGACGCATATCAATGTACATAACACAGCGTCAGCGGCATAGCGACATCAACTGTGAATGCGTAGTTAATCGGAATAGCCGGTTGCACTGAGGATACAGGGCAATATATAACGGCATAAATCATAGGCACATATCAATGTACATAACACAGCGTCAGTGGCATAGCGCAACAACTGTGACTACACAGTAAAAGAGTAGCCAGTTGCACTGAAGGATACAGGGCAATATATAGCGGCGTAATAGTTACACATATCAGTGCGTTGTGTGTACACAGCGTCAGTTGCATCGTACAACAATTGTGAATACGTAATGATCAGAATAGCCATTTGCACTGAAGGATAGGGCAAAATATGACGGCATAGATCATAACACATATCAGTGTGTAGTGTGCACAAACACAGCGTCAGTTGCATCGCACGACAACTATGAACACACACTGTGTAGTAATCAGAATAGCCATTTGCACTGAATGACACAGGGCAATATATAAGGCATAAATCATTACACATATCAGTGTGCAGTGTGTACAGCGTCAGTTGCATCGCACTACAACTGTGAATACGTACTGCGTAGTAATCAGAATAGCCATTGCACTGAAGGACACAGGGCAATATATAATGGCATAAATCCTTACACATAACAGTGTGTAGTGAGTACGTAACACAGCGTCAGTTGCACCGCGCAACAACTGTGAATACACACTGTGTAGTAATCAGAATCGCCATTGCACTGAAGGACACAGGGCAATATATAATGGGATAAATCCTTACACATAACAGTGTGTAGTGAGTACGTAACACAGCGTCAGTTGCATCGCGCAACAACTGTGAATACACACTGTGTAGTAATCAGAATAGCCATCGCACTGAAGGACACAGGGCAATGAATGCTGCGGCGGGGGCTGGGCGCCAGCCACCGGGGAAGCATTGACTGCTATATGAAATGGTATAGCTCGTCCGCGGCATCATGCACGGGGACATAGATAGCCATCTCCTCGGGTTTCCCCGAGCTTCCGCTCTGCGATGCGTCTCCCGGGGGAGAGGCTTCGCCTATGAGGCAGGTAACGTTAATAATGTTGGGGAGAGAAGCTCTTTGCTGAGACATCTAATGTACCTTGTTATTGAAACAGAACACAGCGGTTTCAGAAACAACACATTCTCATCGAACTCTGGGCGGGAACACGCCCTCTTCGCACAGGTCCGACGAACACGTCCATGTGACTTTCCTCCCTGACACGCACATCAGGAGCGCTGTTTTTTTTTTTTCAGCGACTTCCTGAACTGCCTCTGGCGGAAGGGAGGCTCTGGCTCGCGACGTTCTGCCGCGCTTCAGCTTTACGGCCCGCGCCGAGGCCACCTTTCCGACGGCAGCTCCTTGGGCGCTGTCCACTCCAGCTCCATATCTGCCTCCGCCTCAGTGAGAATGGCCATAAGCTCCGCATCCAAAGAGGCGAGGGCGCCTTCAGACGGAGACTCGGTCCATTGGCGTCGTCATCGCCGTAACCGAACGAGATAATTCCCGTGCTTCCTCAAGAGGGCGGTAAATGGCCTCAAGAGTAACTCACGGGCTCTGCCACGTGAGGATGGCGTGGACCTTGGGCCGACGTCAGCGCCTCAACAGAACCCGCGAATGGAGATCTCTGCCGTCTCCCGGTCCGCGGCTCGACGGCGGCAGACTGGGGAGAGGCAGGAGACACAAGGTCGTCGCTACGTGTAACGGCCAGCCTTGCACGAAGGATCTGATGGGAAGCTCCTCACAGGCGGGACATCCCGATCCCTCGAGTGCCGCCTCTGCGTGGTCCCGACCCAGGCACAGCACACAAGTTGTGTGCGTCCGGGGATTCGATGGGTCCACCACACGGGCGACAAAGAGACATAATATAATCCACCGGAACGCGAGAGGGGAATTAAAACTCCTTAATATACTCCGCTCTGAATGCGTACATCAATGGTGAAAACAGACTCGAGTGAAGAAAAAAGATTCTGAGGTTTTTGGCGCCCGCCGTCACCTATATTGAGCAGTGTCAGCCAATCAGGTGATGGCGGGACCGCCATTGGCTATTTGCAAGCAAAAGAGTTATTCTATCAGACTTCATGATTTGAGGAAAATGGATTTCCCCATACGTAATGTCGAGAGACCGACTCGATAAGGGAACTAGCATCAGCGTGGCTATCGATCCTTTGCCGACATGTTGCTTATTTGCTGAGCTAACGAGCCTTTACCTGCAGCAGCAAGAGTAGCCTGGCTTGTGGTTTTGTTTTCGTCGTCGCTCTGTTAGTACGTCATATGCTTCGTTGATCTGATTGGTTGATTTGGCCCGTCTATCACCAACATAGGCCAATCAGCTAACCAGTATTTTCGCCCCTTACCAAAACTACTTCAACGGAAGGTTTTCAGATGGATATGCGGAGCAAAATCCATCTGGCGGAGTCAGGTTATATACAAACTACAATGCACCTCAACAAGGCAACATAATGAACGACACTCGTCTCATTCGTGGAGGTGGAAAAACAAGTTCTTTGTGACATGCAAGATTTGTTGTATTAAAATGTAAATGCAAAAGAAAAGGCATGAGAGTAGGTTGTTTTTGTCAATTTTAAGTTTTCATTTAAAATGTTTGCGATTTTAATATAAGTAAGTTACATGGTTACATATTTGACCACTTGCTTGAGCAACTTAATATATAGAAGTAATGCATGGAATAATTGGCTTACGTTGTTGAAATAGTGAGTATGTTTTAAAATAAAAATAGTGAGCACCGGGGTGTTTGTGGTACAGCCGCGGATCGCACTGCAAACGCAGCATATAAAGCACTATAGCGCGTCCTGCTTCTGTACCGTATACGCACCGCACATGCATTGCACACGGATTATGTGTGAAACCTGTGGTAAAATGATGGGAACAGACTTTTCTATGGGGAGTTGGCTGAAAGTTTAGCCTATTTATCCTAGCTAGCCTCTCTTGCGCTGGCTCAACTCTGTCTCCTTCCCTTCACGTTTTCTGACAGTCGGTAACTTATCGCATAAAAACTAACTCCGGGGTTCTTGCTGTTGTTAGAACAGCCGTGTATTACACAACACACCATCGCGCTGTTTTAAAAAAAAAAAAAATACAGTGATAATACCATGGATAATACCGACGCTGCCTTGCTTGTCAATTGACAGACTGACAGTTGCCGTGGTTTCTATGTCAACAATATGGCCGCCGCAAATATTGATGACGCAGATCGAATAACATCTATTAGGCTTTATAATATGACCATCTGAGTTATTTATTGCCGTGTGTCTTTAAAAAGTATTGGATTAGCCTAGACTAATTAGGATCAAGGTTGATATGGGATTTAGAAAGTAGCATAATTAGTAGCCTAAGCTAATACAATACTTTTTTAGAGAGAGTAGCCTAGTAGTATAGGCTACATCAATCTAATTACACAGGTGGGTATGTAATTAATAGCTAGTAATTAACTATTTTTCTTTAGAGTAATTTACCCAACACTGCTAATAACACTAACAACTATAGCCTATAAAAATGCACCGTGATTTGGACTTTATAAACCTATTTTTAGTTTTACTAGTCATGCATAATAATTGTTAATTTAAACAAATCAATTTTGTAAAAAAAAAAAATTACTTGCACCAAAAAAAAAAGTGAAACGCTGGACAGAGCCCGCGGTTCGATCCCCGGTCACCGGTCGCCCGGCGGCCGCGAGAAGGCTGACGTTAATTCATCGGAAGTAGCCACTGAGCTACACCAGCGCCAACAGCGTACTAACACTGACTTTAACACACACATCAACGGGACACACACAAGCGCGCATGACTGTTTCACAGTTGAAGACGAAAGTACACAAAGATCATTCCAAAACGTTCCAAACAGAAACACTTCAAGATAGACAACAATATTACGACACTAATAGTTAGGCTATTATAAGAATTGTCACACAGTTTCATATTTGTAGTGAATATTCTCTGGGTAAGATTTATTTGTTAAAGTCTTTCTTTATACATTAAGCCTGCATGGCTACCTTAAACACTGGGTTTGTTCCATGAATGTCAGGTCATGACAAGCAGAAAATGAGATTAAACAGACTTTTTTTTCTGCAGTCCCTTGTTTCCCCCATAGGTCCATACCCTCAAGGCCCCGGCGCTGCTCTTCCTCCGCAGGCAGGGTTTATAATGCAATGATGTTCTTCTGCCTGATCTCTTCTATTAGAATGTGAAACGCCATTTTCTCCCCTTTTTCTTTAGATGCACTTTGTTCTTAAACAGCTGTGGGTTTCTGACTCATTTGCAGGTCCACACAGAATCTGTTCCCACAGAACTCATGCCAGTTGTAATAAATATTTAGTCCAGATGTAATTATCTCTAATCTCAGCTCCATTTAACACATTTTAATTGTAATCCAGTCCACAGAATTTTGTCTTTCCACCCCATAATCAGGACATATTTTGTGGACCTACCTGTTGGTTAACAATATATTAACATCAGTCCAAATGCTTGAATTTGAACAATTTGACTGAAAATGATAATGAAATGAATTTGACACTCAAAAACAGGCCGAAAAAAGATTCTTATGCACATATAAGACAATTTTACTGTGTACTTTTGTATCTGTGAGGAAACCCTGTATTGTTACTGTAATGATAATGAGATGATTTTTGCATTTAGGACTTCTGGGTTAAAACTGACCAAAGATGCACTCCACCTGTTCCGTTAAGTGGTTCGGAATATAGTTTTGTTGGACTTAACCTTTGATTTTTGTTTTCATTTAAACAATACATGTTTAAATGCTTACGTGGCATTAACAGACCAGCCTGACTGTAGGTCTGCTGTAGAAAGACTTTCTTGGTGTTAATCAAACTTTAGTTAACAGTTTAATTATCCTAAACTGAATCAAACTATCCTTAAACAGCTACCATATTAAATAGAAGATTATATTATTAAAACAATCAGAACACCGTTTAGAACGTTTCCGAGATGTAAAGTGATCTATTTTGGCACTGTGTTTCTGATGAAATCTGTTTTTGCAGAGAAGTGCAGGTACTTTGATGTAAAAGTTGTCATGCTGGGTTGTGACAGTTCTTGTGCACGTTTTCTGTGAAGGATGTAATTATGCAAGTCTGTAACGTTAGAGAGTTGAGTCACTTACACTGATGTAAGTACAGCTAAAAGAAATCAAAATGTGCCTTGCAACAGAACAAACAAGTGATGTTTAATGAAGACAGCATTTAATCACACCGTCGCTGTGCTTTGATGGATCTTCGAGCCATCTACAACTTTCTGTTTCTGAAGACAATTAAAGGAGAACTCCGGCGCAAAATGAACCTTTGGTCTAATTACACATTGTTACCTAGTCAACCGTTATCTGAGATTTGTTTTCATGTTTATCGACTGTAAATAGTTTTATCTCTACAAACAGTTTAGCCTATAAAGCTAGTATAACGCTAGTATATTGGGCATAGTGTAATGACAAATAAAAATCGCTTGTTAATACCACTAACAAGGCTGAAAATAGCCCCACACTAACACGGTAGCATAATGAGGGTCCCTACCTTCAAACCGAAGCATTGAGAACTTTGTCAGTGTCCAGACCGTTTAATAAGAAGATATTTTAAACATACAGTCAACTTCGCGTATACAGGCAGGAGCCATCTTTGAAATACAGTCTCTGCCAGTCGATCTACGAACGCCGATCCAAGCCTGCTGTTCGCGCTCACCTTATCACAACTTATAGCTCGTTCACATCTCACCAGCACACTTGGATCGGCGTTCGTAGATCGACTGGTAGAGACTGCTTTTCAAAGATGGCTTGTGCCTGTATACGCGAAGTTTAAAATATCTTCTTATTAAACTGTCTGGACACTGACAAAGTTCTCAATGCTTCGGTTTGAAGGTAGGGACCCTCATTATGCTACCGTGTTAGTGTGGGGCTATTTTGAGCCTTGTTAGTGGTATTAACAAGCGATTTTTATTTGTCATTACACTATGCCCAATATACTAGCGTTATACTAGCTTTATAGGCTAAACTCAGGGTTCTCAAGTTTTATCAAAAGCTTGGAGTGAGATCACATGCGGTTAGGGGAGGAGCCTTAGGGGAGGAGCCCCAGTGGAGCCCCGCCCCCCAATTTTACCCATTGTTCATAATAAACCAGCACAAATTGAAATTTTAACAATTGGTAAATCTGATAAATGACAGAGCAATTCATCACATCAAATAGGCCTATACTCTTTAATGTTATATTTCAAAATTACACACAACAAATTGCTCCAAACAGTTTGGAAAAACAAATCTTTTTGCATTTTTCCCTGACAACTTTGAAAAATAATGCAATGGCAATGATTAATGTATGTTTTGACAGGATATAAAATATTACCCAAAGCACTCTGCTTTAATACATGTAGCCTTAATGTAACTAGAAAGACTACAGTATAATATATAATTTAAAATAAAATGTAGAAATACATCTTCATTCCTTCCCATAGCCACTAACATTTCCCTTAGCCAAAGCTTCTGGCCTGGTTGCAAAGTAGTTTTAGAGTTTTTGACTGCATCAATAATAATGTATACGATGGGCTATATATTAAATGTTCTAGCCTAAAAATGTTAGACGAGCTTTCTTCCAACTTACCTTCTCCATCACGACCTATGATCACGACGTGTGTTCGCGCGATTTTGTTGGTTACCTAGTAACGAACGTAGGCTACTGTGGCCGAGAATGTGTGTGTGTTCGCGCGATGGCCGAGAATGTTCCGTCAACTTCCGTGTGTTCGCGCATCTATGTTGCCTAGTAACGAACGCAATCTGGCCGAGATACGGACGCGCTGGCGGCAGGAAACTTCATTTTGTGTGTCTGCGCCTCGTATACAACGTTATATAAAACTTACAGGACAACTTGGTTGGCATTGCCTTTTCAGCGTGAGAAATACATGGTGTGGCGTGTGAGCGTGTGAACTGGTTGAATTGCGTGTGTCTCACGACCAATGCGTGAGACTTGAGAACCCTGGCTAAACTGTTTTTAGAGATAAAACTATTTACATTCGATAATCATGAAAACAAATCTCAGATAACGGTTGACTAGGTAACAATGTGTAATTAGACCAAAGGTTCATTTTGCGCCGGAGTTCTCCTTTAAAGTGACGGCAGCCATATGTGTGTGTCATTAATTTTGTTGTCAAAACAACAAAAGACAGCTTTAAGTTAAAGGAATCAGGATTAATAGTCTATGTATTTAATTTATTCAGGACTAAAATACTACCCAGTGTTATTTTCCATTTGATTGTGACTTTGTTGTGATTTCCATTTGAAAGTGAATTTATTCAGTTTCTGTATATGAATACTAGTGTTAGACCTATTCAAAAACTTTTCTCTTTATTTGTATCTTTATTCTATTGTATTTATTTGTGCTACTTTTTTCAATTTAATTAAACTATTTAAATCAAGCTTCCTTGTGTTGTGTAAATGTACAACCCCATTGTAAAAATCCAATGAGCGCAAACATTTAGGCAAAATAAATGTAATAATTTTGTTTGGAAAAAATTATTTTCCCTTTCTCCCCCTCAAACAAAAAAAATCCCCCCCATGAGAATCATCTAAGGGGGGATTTCCCCCCCCCATTTTCCAAAACGAAATTCAGGCCCTGATTCTTCTCCCTCCTCGCCTTCTCCGTCGAAAGTGTCGACTCCCACCTCTTCGTAATCTTTCTCGAGAGCGGCTAAATCCTCACGGGCCTCCGCAAACTCGCCCTCCTCCATTCCTTCTCCAACGTACCAGTGCACGAAGGCTCTCTTCGCGTACATTAGATCAAACTTGTGATCCAGACGGGCCCAGGCCTCTGCGATGGCTGTGGTGTTGCTCAACATACAGACTGCCCTTTGAACTTTGGCCAGATCACCTCCTGGAACCACAGTTGGCGGCTGATAGTTGATGCCGACCTGATTATAGTAAGAAGAAAAGCAGTTTAAGAAACACATTTTTCCACACATAAAAACATCATGCAAATATTTACAATACTGTTTAAAAGTGTAGGGTCTGTAAGATTTTTAAAATGTTTTTGAAAGAAGTCTCTTCTGCTCACCAAGGCTGCATCTATTTTAACAGTATAGGATGCAGTGAAAACTGTAAAATTGTGAAATATTATATTGTAAAATATTATCTTAATATATTTTAGAATGTAATTTATTCCTGATATCAAAACTCCAGTCTTCAGTGTCACATGATCTTTACTGCTGTCTATCAGGCAAGTCTACAGTACGTAATTTCTCAGACTTTCCACAATCCAACAAACCCAGATTGAATGTTGAAAACCAGCGCTGACCAATGCCAACAGACGCCAACGGGTAACCCACCGACCCAACAAAACCCAATATAGTGTCTGTTGCCGTTGGCCGGTTGTCGGTGCAGTGTGAATTGCCCTTCAAGGACACAGACTGACCTTGAACCCTGTGGGGCACCAGTCCACAAACTGAATGGTCCTCTTGGTCTTTATGCTTCCAATGCCATAGTCAATGGACAACCTCTCCATCAACAATGAAGCAAAACCCGATCCAGTTCCACCGCCAAAGCTGTGGGAGATGAGGAATCCTTGTAGTTCAGTGCACTGATCGCACTGAAAACAAACGCACAAACTATTAATTAATCTATAAAAGAAGTATAAGCAGTATTAAAGGAGAACTCCGGTCAATTTTAACATTGAGCTCATTTTTTGTACATTTGGAGGGCTGTCAGTACAGACAAAAACGACAAAAATCGGTGTTGCCTACACCGTGTTATCCTCTTTTTAAAATTCGCACCCTGTTGACTTCAATGGGGCAAGTTCTAAACCTGCTTTTAGCCTCTTAACTAGTGATGTTACATATGACACTGAAGCTTCGATGTGCGTATCGCGAAAGCGAAGCAATTTCTATTGAAGCCCCGTATCGGGGTGTGTATTGGTTTCCCAGAGGTCACGTGATCGATGACAAACGAAGCCTCACTTTCTGTCCAATCACGTGCGCGTCTCGCTTTGGGTGTCAGAAGGCTCGAAGGTCCTTGTTGGCTCAGTCTGGTTGATGGGTTTGTGAGGCGAGTGCTGTACTTTGAAAGTTAATCAATACATTACATTTAAATAACCAAAACTACTTATTATTTTGTTGTTGTGTCTTTTTGTTTTTGTAAGATCGTTGCACTTTTGGTGTTTTTTTAGGTAATTTGGGTGTTTGGTGAAGGGTTTGTATTTACAGCAATGGCAACAGCCAAAAAAAGGAAGACTTCCCCTAACTGGGAATATTTTGAGCTTAAAGCTTCCAATGTATGAATGCATTTCTAAAAAAAGAAATAAAGAAATAAATATTTATTTATTTATTTAGTATTATTTTATTTTTTATCATTGTATTGTATAATTGTTGACCGTTGATGTGTCTTATATTCAGTCAATGTACATGTACAGTCACTCCCAACAAAAAAAATGTATCCTCACACTTCTGAGGTGGAAACCTTTGGCTTCTGTTGGAAAGTGGTGTAGACCAGTGCAAACAAAGCTCAAATGCCGCTTCTGATGCGATCGTAGAAGTGGATAAATACCTTACAGAGACAAACATACAAAGAGCTGAAGATCCACTTGGATACTGGAGAATGCAGAGACATGTCTACCCCCATCTATATACATTGGCATTACAGAATAATTAAAATCTTTATCACCTTTCTGTCATTCCTACAGTTACATAAGCACGTGCCAAGTGTCAGATGAACAGATGATCCTATCACACAATGTCCTTATTCACTGTGTGTGTGTGTGTGTGTGTGTGTGTGTGTGTGTGTGTGTGTGTGTGTGTGTGTGTGTGTGTGTGTGTGTGTGTGTGTGTGTGTGTGTGTGTGTGTGTGTGTGTGTGTGTGTGTGTGTGTGTGTGTGTGTAGAGTAGGGGTGGAGCCGAACCCGAATACGGTATTCGGAAAGGCACAAATAACGTGTTTTTTACGAATACTTATTTCGAACAAATACTTTAAAAAAATATTTGTATTCGGGAACAAGAAAAACTTTATATCAAAAAGCTGCGTTTCCTCACGAGACCTCAGTGCATGCACGGATGAGTGAGTGACGTTCAGGAAGAGGTGACTGACACAGGCTGTTCCACACATGAAATGGCGTATGTATGACACGCCAATTCGTATTTCCATTTTTGGCGTGCTATCAACACGCATAATCGCTTTTCAGCGTGTTTATCAACGCCTTTGACTTAACGGTATATTACTGTATTATGTATATATAAATATATGACCTACCCCAACCCCGTCCCTAAACCTACCCGTCACTGGGGTTAATACCATTTATGAGTCTTCTCCTACCATCCTAGGAAAAGAAATATCGCTCCACAGATGTAGATATAGATTTTGCTTCGTTTCGCTCGGACATTTAACGGCGTACACATACACGCGGAATCACTCGGACATTTAATGGCGTAGACATACACGCAAAAGATTTCGGCGTGGACATACACGCGGATAGCTCAAAATGCGTATAGATAACACGCCACTTGACTTGAAAGTGGCGTGTATGTTTACGCAAAGTCATGATGTCATGTTGCAACAGACATAAAATTTACGCTCGGCTGAGCGAAAAAACACTTAACTACATCACTATTTTTGTTAAATAGATTTTTATACCTTAACTGGGTTCCAGAGGCAGTTTATAACTTTCGGGAAGTGGAGTTTGATCGGGAGATTATTCCATTACGCTGTATTATTGACGTCTGCAGTCGGATGCTCTCATGTTCGCTCTGTTTACGTAGACTGTTAGCTCGGTTGTTTTTATTACATGGCTTGGTTAAATTCTGATGTAGAATGCGGTCGGTTATTTCTTAATAACAGACCGCTGCTACGTATAACACACCGTTGCCATGAAAAACAGAGCGTTGCCATGGATTCTAAACGTAGAGACGGAACGGACTATTTTCTTTAGCGGAAGCAATACGATCGTTTTTAAATCAATAAACTCCTTTTTAAATCAATATTTTGAGTCAAATTATTGATTTATCTGGTAGGTAGCCATGTAATAAGCGGGATAATGTATAGCGAGGCGGTTGTTATAACGAATACAACCCCTTCAAGCTGATTCAAGACCCCCACTTCTAATTTATGTTATAGTTCCCTGGGAGACTCAGACTGACAGCTGTCAGCCGATGACGATGCTGTGTGGTGTTTTGAGAATATCAGCTCAAATGGATAGTTCATCCGAATCAGATGTTGAACACCAATGATCGCGCGCGCGAACTCGACAATTGACTACTGTGGACTTCGACCGAAAACAGGAAGTAAATATAGGTACGCGAGCTGGCTGAATTAACATCATTTTTATTCATATCTTTCACATCTACTGCAGTCAGATTGACCATGGTCACTCTTAATAACACCACTCACATGGCTGTGCACTTGCAATGACAAATCAAGGATGTTAAGAGGCTAAAAGCAGGTTTAGAACTTGCCCCATTGAAGTCAACAGGGTGCGAATTTTAAAAAGAGGATAAAACGGTGTAGGCAACACCGATTTTTGTCGTTTTTGTCTGTACTCACAGCCCTCCAAATGTACAAAAAAAATGAGGTCAATGTTAAAATTGACTGGAGTTCTCCTTTAACTAAACAGAGAAAAATGTCTTACCAGTTTGCGTACGCGGTCAAGTACCAGGTCTACGATTTCCTTGCCAATGGTGTAATGGCCTCTGGCATAATTGTTGGCGGCGTCCTCCTTCCCAGTTATCAGCTGCTGTGGGGGAAACAGCTGTCTGTTTGTTCCAGTTCGAACCTCATCTGAATGGGAAAAAAATTATTAAAAAAAAAAAAATTTAATTTCTTTCTTCTGCTGAAGACAAAAGAAGATATTTTAAAGAATATGGGTAATCAAACAGTTGATGTACATCGACTTCCATAGCATAGTATGGAAAAAAATACTATGGAAGTGGGCCTATCAACTGATTGGTTACGCATATTCTTCAAAAGAAAACAGTAGAAATTCATACAGGTTTAGCAAAAAAGTAAATGACAGAATTTTCATTTTTGGGTGAACTCACTATTTAAGTCATCATGCAATCAAAATTGACTTTTAAATTGTATAACGGTGTATTTGTTATAAATTAATTATTTGTGCACATCAGGATTTAAAAATAATAATAATGTGCCCTCGTAAACTCTTAAATCAAATTAACTTTAAATTACAAAGCACATAAAAATTACTACAAATTAAACTCAAATGTAAATGAAAACAGAAAATATAAAATAAAAGCTAGGCTAATTATTTTTTATATATATATATATATAAACATTATAATACATAAATACTATAATAACACTGGGATGCTGAGAGTGTTCTACAATTGGCAGGTTTTTGGAGGCGAGGGGTTAAAAAAAACAGTTTCTATAACCACCTTTGTGTCAAAATATCATTAGCTGCTTCTTTTACTAGTCACTATGATTTTCCCAAGCAAGACATGTTCCTTGATCAACATGTTGATACTGGAACAACATTCCTCCCCAAAAATTTAGTCCCAACCACATACCTACCCCTAAACTTGAACCTTACCCATAAGCTATCCCTAAAATCAGAGGGAAATGATAGGTGAATAACACCTGACCCTGATTGGTTGTTGATCAACAAAGATGTTGATCCAGGAGGAATAGTTGTCAGTCCCTTGGTGAAATCAGGTTCATCACTTTTACTACAATAAAATTAGGTAACTTGATATTAACCACCACAAAAAAAACCCCAAAAAAACTATTTTTACGCTATTTTATTATGATTTACAGTAGTTACACTAACTCTAGTGTGGTCGTTTTTGTAAAAGTCTACAAAGGTAACGTTAGTGAAGTGTAAATATCTCCTGATCTCGTTACCGATCTGAACTCCCGCCTGACCCACATGAATAGAGATACACTCGCGCTGGAAAAAAAAAATCAAATTAATCAAGCTACAACAACCAACGTCAAAAAGTTTTGTTTTTGCCTACTCGTTTAATTAGATCATTAACCATCATATAATTGATAAATGTAACGTACGGACAGAGGCGGTCGGATCCATGTGTGACTGTGTGTGTTTGTGCGGATGGAATCACACTGGAAGCAGCCAAGCAGGTGGATGGTTACTCAAGATCTCTTTACTGGGCCTGGAACAGACAGACTGGGACAAACACGATCAAAAGCTGATTAGTGTAGGCTACATCAACGCATCAACGTTGCTCAATATTTAGCAGCGAGAGATATGAGACTCTGCTCAATATACATTTTACGAAGTGATCGTATAGTCAGTGGAATAAGTAAGCAATAAGGTTAGGGTTGCCACCTATGTCTGATAAAAAACCGGGACATATCGATGACCCGCCCAACGGGGAAAAGCGATTAAATGCGCGCTTCTTACATGCGCTTTTTGAGGCACACACGCACACTAGCACACACACGCAAGGTCTCTCGCTCTCTCCCTCTCTGTCGTCCGCGCGCTACACAGTTTGAACATGTTCACGTAGCCTTTCGAAAACCGGGACATTCAGTGTCCCGGGAGAGTGCATAAATTTCCCGGGACAAGTTATTAAAAAGAAGGACAATCCCGGTAAAACCGGGACAGGTGGCAACCCTAAATAAGGTACGAGAGGCTGTGCTGTATCGTGAATAAGTAACGGCTGGAGGGCGTTGTTAGGCACGACGCGAAGCGGAGTGCCTGCAACCCCTTCAGCCGTTACTTATTCACGATACAGCACTTGCCTCGAGTACCTTATTGCTTTTATAAAACGGTTGCCACACAATAAAAATATTAAAGCCGAAAAATATGTATCTATGCAACTTTCATGAAGTAAAATCACTAAAAGCCTGCCTTCCGCTGGAAAAAATAGTCCCGGAACGTGAACAGCAACAGAAGTTACATATATTATTTCGCCAATAGCTGGGTTTCAGTCACGTGATTATGATGACGCGCGAAATTCAGATGGAGGGCAGGGGAGTGAAGAGCGCAATGGACGAGATGGAGGAAAGTCCGTACTGTACCTCTTTACAGCTATTACAAGAGAAAGATATAAACAAAAAATCAAACATATGTTGGACGTGATCCTTACGTTATGAAGAGGAGCGATTTTCAACTGAATTGAAAGATTTTCCTGCCATCGAGGTGGTAGATATCAGCAACTACCTCGTCTTACAGACATACTTTGACTTTACAAAGTTCGTAAATGTTACACGTTACACAAACATAGCCACTTAAGTTGTATTAACTCACCATTGACGAAGTGATCACTGCACAAACGGGCATTTTTCCCATTCGGCTCCTCCCGACCGCAGACGTAGGTTTTTCCGGAGTTTTTCGGTCAATTTCTTGCATTTTCCCCCTTTATGAACAACAACTTTTGGTACACGATAAAAACTCCTCGTGGTTTGATCGATTTAAGTAACCATAAACGACGCAAAACATAGGCATTTTGAGTTTGTTATAGTGCTTTCTAAATACAGCAAATCACTTCCTGCCCTCCATTTGCATTTCGCGCCATGGCAACGCAGTGGCGTGACGTCATATGAAAACAAGCTATAGATGGCGGCAAAGACTGTCTTTATGAGTGAGTGAGTCTGTAGAGAAGGCTTTTGAAAGGACTCGAACTTGTGATCACGGAGAAGACAGACGCAACTGACAGATGACTAACGTTATGCACGGAAAACCCCATGACTGTTAAAAGGACAAAATATGCAGCGGACATTCAAACGCATTTTTTTATTATGAATATAGGACTGACCTGAAGGAAAATGCTACGTCTACTGTAAATGCAGGTACACTCGCTTACTCGATCTCTCACAATGCTCTGCTCTAGCTTTAAATGAACAATATCAATGAGATGAAACATCTGTTTAAGTTGCTAAGAGTGGTTGCTAGGGGTGTTGTGTAGTGATACATAGAACCGTTGGGTGAAGCGGTCATAGCCGTGTTTTATCGTGAATAAAGCACAGCTATTGACCAATCAGAATCAAGGATTGGAACTAACCGTTTTATAAAACTCAAAATAAAACATACATTAAAGAAATAAAGTATAAATCACTGCCTCTGTTCTCATTTCTCATCAATTCACAAATACAGAGAAACTATAAACTGCGCCATTTTAGGTGGCCGTTCTTCTCTTTCTGTATTCCATTTATATAAAATGATGGTTACTTATGGCGCGTTCCAGGCAACCCGTAACCCGTGTTTTTCCAACTCGTAACTGGGAGTACATCGATCTAGTACGAGTTCACGGATGGGAAGTCACGGGTTTGACTGTCGTTCCAGTGCACTTTCACGGGTAGAAGGTTGGAAAAACACGGGTTACAGGTTGCCTGGAACGATGTACTCCCAGTTACGAGTTGGAAAAACACAGGTTACAGGTTGCCTGGAACGCGACATAAGTAACCATCATTTTATATAAATGGAATACAGAAAGAGAAGAACGGCCACCTAAAATGGCGCAGTTACACAGATCAGCACGTGCGAGCACGTGTGCCGACACGTGAGTTAGGACTAACACTCAATTTAGCCAACATAACTCTACACAGAACATGACAAATCTTAATAAAACATACCTGGGACAAACACGAACAAAGGCAGGTTAACAACACGTCTGCGGCGCATTACGGCTGCGACACGGCTACCGGAGCTGATCGCGGCCATTCTAGTCAATGCGTGTGTTTACACCGGCCGCGAAGCGGCGCGTTTCAGAAGCTTCCCAGAAGCTGCTCTCCGCGCCGCTTCGCTATATATAGGCGCCTAGTCTATTTTTGACGGACACCGCGTCCAAGCCGCACCGTAAATACAAAATAAAAGTAGAAAAACACTGTCAATTTCATAATAAACACCCTGTGCAGAATCCCAATTGTATTGCACACCAATATATCCTTGGTAAAATGGTAGACACACAAAAATCAAGAAAAACCACGCCGGACAGGCAAATCACGTGGTCTCGCGCATCCAGTCGCTTCGCGTCTGAAATGCTCCTGGTGTGAGTTGGCACTGTGTGAAGGACGGAATAAAACCGTGTCGCAGCCGTGTGCAGTGTAAATGAGGGGTTACAGTGTAACAAGACTTCGCACCGGACAAAGGAGAAACACAAGTTTAAATCAGGAACTCAATAACCAATAATGAAACACAGCTGAACATAATAAAACATAATGAGTCCATGAGGAAAACATGACACAATGAGAGAGTGCCCTCCAGTGGCTCTCGAGGGCACTACAGCTGCCGATCGTCACAATAAAGTGTAGCTTATAAATCTGAAAAGAAGAATGACGGCCAACGGTTAACGGCTTAACTTAAAGTTTACTCACCATTTTTAAGGAGTATTTTAAGGAGGTTTAATGTAAATACGATGTAGATACGAAGGCCTTCGTGTATAGCAGCTATATAACGTTATAGTATAGGCCTACAGTTCTCGTCTGCCGAATGTCGATAATATTGTTTTTTGAAATTAATTCGCAGGCTTGTATATACGCCCAACCGGCACATCCGGGAACTTAACTGTCAATTTCGTCCCCGCCCCTTTTTGGGGGGAAAACAAACTAGACTTTTAGACGATCACAGTCCATTCCACGGACCCTGTTTTTACCAGTACTTCCAAATAGACATATCCTCCTGAGACCCAGAAAAAAAAAGTTTTTTTGAATTTAGTTTTTTTCCATGTCATCACACTGTTTAGAGCACAATAAACACAACAAAAACACATATATAAAATAATACTTTATTCATAAGTTATGCTATGTCCTCTGTAGTGGACGCCAGGACTAAGTTGTTTAAAAAATAAAACGACATGAAATTATATGTATAGGCAAAAACAATGGGATTTTTTTTCAATCACCAATAAATTTAGGGGTTTCAGGATTTTTTCAACCAAAATTTGTATAAAGATTATTCTCAACTATGTTATGAAAGAAATAATGGACTGAATTGATACGCCATTTTACTTTTTGCAATATGTGGGTAAAATGGCCATAAATTAATAGTCCCATTCAATGCAATGTATCTATACACTGTATCTAATTTGCACATTGATGTGTTCTTGGAGCAACATTAAATGAAAAAACAAGTGTAATAATTGGAGTAACAATTGGCAACATTTTAATAATAATATCTAATATTTCATAGGAATATTGATGTATAATTTATTTCCATATTCACTTGTCGTGTCTCCCAGAATGCCTGATAAACATGATTTTAGTCCTGATGTCCTCTACAGTGGACACGTTTGAAATCAGTGCCCTGTTCTGTAACAAAGTTTTTTTTTTTTTTTTTTTTGAAACCCCTTAACATTTTCCTGAGATGTTGTTTTATGAAATACAATTTGAAAAAGTAGTCCAATTTAAATATAATTACAATATATTATCATATCTCCATAAGAATGCTACATTTGATCACTAAATTAATGTCAGACATTTTTAAAGACCAATTAAGGAGAAGTTGTTTTCATGGTGAATCCTCCAAACATTTGGTATCTCTGAAAAGTCCTGGATGTGCTCTTTACAGGACACCCAGGTTGTGTCATGTGGCATGTATGATGTCAGAGAAATTCACTAAAATATAATGTCCACTACAGTGGACAAAAGTCTATTCCTGGGTCCCATGTTTATAAATAACTAGTAGCCAATTAGAACACATAAAATAAGTGTATTTGATTATCTTTGAGGGAATTAAATAATTATTCAAAGGAGGAACCTATACTTTTCTGTTTGAAAGCAGTCTGTCTGTTGAATCAACTGCTGGCTGTAGTGCATGATTGCAGAGTAATATCAAGGATTTGTTTCTATGGATTGTTTCAGAATGACAATGCATCTTGCATTCATTACCTTAGCGACGCGCGCCTCTCGTGACCGGGTATAAATAACAGGTGCACGATATTACTACTTAAAGTTTGCCACTCTCTAGTTTATTTTAAGGTATTGTTATTCACACTGTTTTTTGCATTTATTGTTTGTCCATCTGGGACTATTATTTGTCATGAGCTCTATATTTTAAGATGTAATAAAAAAAAATATGATTCAACAACACAAACTCTGTTTTTACTCTGCAAATTTGTTTTCCTTTCAAAGCCTACAAGTTATCCTGCTTTTTGCCATGGCTTGCCATACTGCACAGAATAAAGAATATTTTCTCCACACGAGATGTTTAAAAATCCTGCAGTTTTTGTGAAGACGAGCGCACATCTTTCAAAGGTTCCAGTTCTGTTTAGGCTATTGTAATTCATAATGCTTATGTTTTAAATTGATATAGGCCAAACACATTTAAACTTGTGTTTCTATCTATCTATCTGTCTGTCTATCTATCTATCTATCTATCTATCTATCTATCTATCTATCTATCTATCTATCTATCTATCTATCTATCTGTCTATCTGTCTGTCTGTCTGTCTGTCTGTCTGTCTGTCTGTCTGTCTGTCTGTCTGTCTGTCTGTCTGTCTATCTATCTGTCTGTCTGTCTGTCTGTCTGTCTGTCTGTCTGTCTGTCTGTCTGTCTGTCTGTCTGTCTGTCTGTCTGTCTATCTATCTATCTATCTATCTATCTATCTATCTATCTATCTATCTATCTATCTATCTATCTATCTATCTATCTATGTCTGTCTATCTGCCTGTCTATCTGTCTCTAAAAACTTGAATGCAAACATTTATGCACAAATATAGCTTAAATAATAGTTTAAAAAATGTGGTCTGCTATATTTCACAAAGGAAGCCCATTTGTGCGGTAGTTGGCGTTATATGAGAAGGACATTCTGAATATTAGCCTACTGTAAATTAGCTGGTTTAATAATGCGGATTTATAATTGCACAGTCATCCCAGACGCCTCCCAGTGCTATTCGTATTGGAATTGTATAATCACAGATTATGAACAGATGTTTTACACAACAAGGATATATTCCCATTGGGTTGTTGGGTTTTCATGTTTTATGGGAATTTTAGACATAATGATTTTTATACTGTAGCTACAAATTGTGTGATCCCCTAACTCTAATGTAACAGTTATGGGTAGGTAATCTACGGACATCTAATGTTACGGACATATTATCATGGTAGGCTACAGTTCAGCCTATTATTGATTTTTATTTCCACTTCTCCTTATCCAAAGAGACGGAACTATTCGCACTGTATTTATCAATGAGAAATAGGCCTGCATCTAGCTAAAATAATCTGTGTAGGCCTACAGTGGCTGTGGCTCACATTAATTACGTGTTACGTGACCAGCAACATATTTCTGTTTCAAATACTGTGCGTAGTTAACAGCGAGTGGTGGTTTCAGACATTATTTTATTAAAGTGCATTCGTCAGTGCCGCACTCGTGACTCTTATTCTGCCTGACAGAAAGAAAAGCTCGTACCTGGCTCATACTGAAGAAGGCGGAACGGTTTGACCAATCAGATGAAAGGGGCGTGTCAGCGCGCCCACGTTTGCCAAATGAAATATCGAACCCATTAACTGATTTGTCACCACAAAAGAAAAATGAAAAATCGAGCCAAAATCTCATTTTTCGTTTTTTAAACTAAAGTAAAAAACGAATAAACGAGCTGGTTTTCATTTCTCTTTATTCCATTCCAAACAGGAAATGAAATTATCAAAAAGTACACGGACCCACATCACTTTCATTCATTCTTATTATTCATGTAATGTCTATATATTATATACACGAAGGCCTTCGTATCTATGTTTTTACCACTCATACATGCATTACATGCAAAGTGAGATATTTCAAGCCTTTATTTGTTATCAAAATCAGAATATTGTGAAAAGGTTTTCATAAGCTGTAAGCCATAATCATCAAAATGATAACAAATAAAGGCTTGAAATATCTCACTTTGCATGTAATGAGTCTATATATTAGTTTCACCTTTTAAGTTGAATTACTGAAATAAATGAACTTTTGCACGACATTCTAATTTTTCGAGTTTCACCTGTATTTCTAAAATAACTGTCCAGTTAAAGAATGCATTATTAATGTGAGTCTAATGGAGACAATCGGATGCCACTTGGTGAATTTCAGCATTTCAAAATATAAAAGTTTGTTCTGTATGTAATCATGAGTTAAAACGGATCTTTTTCAGTGAACAGTTCACTAGACACGCTTTTGGCTCTTTTGCAAACCGAAGGAGCCAAGATCGAGGAAGAAACGGAGGTGAGGACATTCTCATATGCATGAATTTGCTGATTTTTCATTTGCTGATTTTTCATTTGCTGATTCATTTGCTGATTTTTAACTCTTATGAGGTGTGTAATGTCTTAAGATTCTCCCACGCTTTCTAGAACATGGCCGATTCCTTCTTGGATGGATCGTTGCCTCTGGACAGCTTCGTTGAATACCAGAGCAAGAGGACGCTGGCGCATCTGAGGCATGTGAAGAACGATAAGCTACAGGAGATGGTCAGGGCCGGATTAACCATTAGGGCAACTGGTCACTTGCCCAGGGGCACATGACATCTAAGGGGCCCTGCGCACCGTCAAATATTATGTTAGATCACGTTATAAACGCAGTCCTCACTTTCCTAATTATATGCATATTTTTGCAACCCATTCGATCAAAATATAATGTTAAATCGCGTCAAAAACAGCGTCTGTATTCCTGCGCAGTGAGCGAGAGCGAGCTATCATGTCGACTCGCGTCGCGTGACTTGACGCTCTGAAATTTGAAGTGATGGAGAAGCAGTTGCCTACGGTTGCCTAACATAAAGGTCTCGACTGTTTAGCGTTATATTTTGCCAACGAAGTCAAATTGAAACTGTGATATTGCTTCGTGCCGTTATAAAACAGCAAAAGACTTTAAGTAGCCTAGGCATTCTGTTTGTGCTGCGTGATTTAAATAGAAGTGCGCGCTTTGCTCACGCGATCAGCATGGTGATCTGGTGTTTTCTCCAAAATGAAAGCTCAAGGGTTTATTTCTGGCAATTAAAGAAATTAGGACAAAAGTATTGTACTTTTCCTATGTAATGCAAAATACTTTTAGGCTACATTTATAGGAGGTATATGATTTTACGTCATAGGAATAATTATATAAATCATTATTATAATAATTGTTTGGCATCCTAAAACACCAGTGATAATGTAATGCAGACTGAGACTCTATATCATAACTAAAAAGATGTTTGAGCCCTCTTTAATGTCCAGGTAAGTCAATGCTTTTTCTTTGTTCAATGTGCACAGTTCATGGGTTAAAGCCGGTTGAAGCTCTTAATTGTGAGCTCTCAAAGTGCACCAGATTGATGCATTTAACCTTAAAATGTACAAAATTTTCTTGGGATAGAGTTCCACCCAACATAGTTTTATAAAATCCTATGGGAAACACAGATCATTTATGAAGTAATATGTACAAAAAAGTTCCTTTTAAGTCAGTAATACAGTTAATGCCAAATTAAAATGTCCTTGGACAAACTACATTTGGCCTGCCTAAGGGGGGGGCCTACAAGACATTGTGCCCAGGGCCCTCTGAATTCTTAATCCGGCCCTGGAGATGGTGCTGAAGGGTGTTCATCTTCCTCAGGGTTCCTGTAATGATCCTTCACAAGCTCAGGAGACCCTTAACTCCAGCGCACCTTTCCAAAGGCTAGCTAATGGTTCTCCAGCTCATGTAAGACCATCAGCCACGTCACACCCTTACAACTCTCAGAGCATCAGTGCTCCTCCGCCAAACATGCTGCCGTCATATTCATGTGGTCCATACCCTCAAGGCCCCGGCGCTGCTCTTCCTCCGCAGGCAGGGTTTATAATGCATGTTCTTCTGCCTGATCTCTTCCATTAGAATGTGAAACGCCATTTTCTCCCCTTTTTCTTTAGATGCACTTTGTTCTTAAACAGCTGTGGGTTTCTGACTCATTTGCAGGTCCACACAGAATCTGTTCCCACAGAACTCATGCCAGTTGTATTAAATATTTAGGCAGATGTATATAGCCTATAAAAATGCACCGTGATTTGGACTTTAAACCTATTTTTAGTTTTACTAGTCATGCATAATAATTGTTAATTTAAACAAATCAATGTTTTAAAAAAAAAAATTTACTTGCACCAAAAAAAAAAAAGTGAAACGCTGGACAGAGCCCGCGGTTCGATCCCCGGTCACCGGTCGCCCGGCGGCTGCGAGAAGGCTGACGTTAATTCATCGGAAGTAGCCACTGAGCTACACCAGCGCCAACAGCGTACTAACACTGACTTTAACACACACATCAACGGGACACACACAAGCGCGCATGACTGTTTCACAGTTGAAGACGAAAGTACACAAAGATCATTCCAAAACGTTCCAAACAGAAACACTTCAAGATAGACAACAATATTACGACACTAATAGTTAGGCTATTATAAGAATTGTCACACTGTTTCACATTTGTAGTGAATATTTTCTGGGGAAGATTTATTTATTAAAGTCTTTCTTTCAAGCATGCATGGCTACCTTAAACACTGGGTTTGTACCATGAATGTCAGGTCATGACAAGCAGAAAATGAGATTAAACAGACTTTTTTTTTCTGCAGTCCCTTGTTTCTCCTCAGTAAAAGACCACGGTAATCTCACATCTTTCCTCTAGACTTTCAGAAGAGAAACTCTCTCAATCTGTGCTCAGATTAAATACTAATCAAACATCAGGGATCTTAGTATGAACTCAAAACTCTACCTCTTATTGTATGTCAAAATTAACTCATTTGTGTTTCTCTTTAAGACCAATTTATTTTCTTTAAGGAAAAGAAAATTATGCTTAACATTTAACATTTTCTTTTTGTTTCTGTAACTCAAGCTGTATGAGCATAATGTTTGCGATGCCGAAGTCAGAGTGGGGGTTCAATCTTCAGCTGGCTGGCAGGAGCCGCCACTGGCAGGTCAGCCAGCTGAAGATTGAACCCCTACTGCGCCTCAGCTCTTTTCAAAGGGCTGATTAAAATTCAGACCCTAATGTGTCATTTTCATTATTTTAACCCTCTTTGGGACTATTTGTGAAATCACCGCTAGAATTTTTTTTTACTTAATTAGGCTAATGATTAATATCCAAAATTGGTTTTCTACATCTGACTTTTGACCTTTTTTTTAGGGTGCCATCATTTATAACTGTCTTTGTCCTATCAGGGTAAATTATTTTTGACAACATTTCTGAAACTTCACACACATTCAAATGCATTTTCAGTATCTGAAGTTAAAAAAAGCATTATTAACATTCCATTTCATCATGTGCTACTATATTTCATTTGGAACTAGCATGTGAAAATGTCAAAAACTTGACACAAATTCAGATGCAACTTCGCTGCCTGAAAAGTAGTGAAACCATGTTTCAAAAAGCATTACAACATTGTTTCTTTCTTGAAATCCCAAGGCAATGATTGTAGCACACGTGAAAATCAACCAGACTCTTCTTTCTCAGTGTAGCCCACGCTTAGTTTCCACACGTAACTGGATTTTGACTTGTTTAGTCATGATTTTTGGAGCATCCCTGTGTCAGTATAGTGAGGCCGATAGCAGTTGCATCTGCCCTGTCACTGTAATATGGATCACATCCACCAAACTGGCGTAGGATAATGTACCCACAATGCCTGACTTCCACAACAATTTATGGGTGGATTCAAACGAACCGAACCGAACTCTAACGAACCGAACGTGAATCGAAGTATCTTTGTGTCAAAGCACCCTTACTTTCATTTGGAGAATTACTAGATAAATCCAAGCTTCCAATATCTTGTGTCTTTTATCTTGTTGTTTGTTTTTATTATTACCATTATTTATTTACTGATTTTTTTTTACTGTTACTATTATTGTTGCTGTTATTTGTATTTATTTTGTTGTGCGACTTGTCACTAAATAAAGCATTTTAAAAAACACAACGGCTTTCATGCCTTCCATGAGGGGGTTTGGCATCACGACGGCATTGTTTCCAGGCGGACCGTTACAGAACGCAACACACACGTCTCTCAAAGACCCTGGAGAATCCGACCAGTCAGATGACGACTTTGAAACTCCCGAAGTGTTTCCCATTTTATCCGTCAGACTTTTAGCCAAAGGTCTGTGACATCTGAGGCAGAGACGAGGGTGTGGTTGGACCCTCTAGCTCAGGGATGGGCAACTTCGGTCCTGGAGGGCCACTGTCCTACAGAGTTTAGCTCCAACCCTGAAAAAAATCACCTGCCTGTAACTTTCTAGTAATCCTGAAGACCTTGATTAGCTTGTTCAGGTGTGTTTGATTAGGGTTGAAGCTAAACTCTGTAGGACAGTGGCCCTCCGGGACCGAAGTTGCCCATCCCTGCTCTAGCTCCAGAGAGGGGGAGCTGGACGTCGAGCTCCACCCACTGGCTCTGCAGCCAGCAGCCAGGTGCAGTATGCGATTTCTCAAAATCATTGTTGAACACTCTTGATATTTGAAATGAACCCAAACAAACATGCAAGAGTGTCTCATGAAAAATAAAGGGAAGATGATGAACGAACAACAAGGAAGCACAAAAGAATGAACACACAGTACAAGCTAGAGTTGGTGCTAGCTAGAACCAATGCTACTCTCCTATGGAGCAAGCACAACATTCTAATCTGAAAAATGAAGCCTACCCGGAAGTGCGAAAAACTGCAATACATCGAAAATCCGCTAGAGGGAGGTCCCAAAAGGGAGCAAATATCAATAGACCCCATGTTAAAATGTCCGTTTTCACAGCATAAATTCATGTTTTTACAGGTGGTCCCATGGACTTTTATTGTATTTGTCGATAGGTTCCGAGTGCCTGACAACTGTGAGGGGGGTGAATTTTTTTTCTAACTCGTTAGTTTAGAATCGTATTTAGATATAAAATGTATGACAAATAAGGGCGTGGTTAACTTTGATTGACAGCTGATAACGGGCTGCGCCGAGTGGAATTCCTGAAATTTGACGTCTCGGCCATGATCTGACACAACACATCATACCACCTCTGTATCATTTCTGAACATTTGTATTCAAATATCGTACATAAAATGGGTTGCTCTGCTATAAACTGCACTAACCAGGAGGACTTCGCTCCTTTTTTTCCGGTAAGTGACATTCCACTACTATTTCACGTAGTTAGCAGTTAGCACTATTTAGCATCAATGTTTGTGGGCAGTGGCACTGCAACAGTTGGCATTAAATCGCCTCAGATAAGTTAGCGTCTGAGGTACTTTACCTATGGTTATAACTGACGTTTGAAACACTGTAAATGCGTCTGCCAAATGAATAAATGTAACATAAGAATAGACTGATCTGCGAGCTAGTTGGTCGCACGTCAGAGGCGCCCGCGCCATTGGATGTGCAGTTGCCGCAGCACAGCCTATGAGCGAGCTATGCAGCTGCAAATGCGTTTTACATATAGGCTTCAGTAAATCGAGGAAAAGGAGTTTCAACACACCCCCTACTGCTGATTGGCTCACTCTCTCTCCTCCCCCATCATGACTGGACACGCCCCCTACAGCTGATTGGCTCACTCTCCTCCCCCATCATGAGTGGACACTACCCCTACTACTGATTGGCTCACTCTCTCTCCTCCCCCATCATGAGTGGACACGCCCCCTACTGCTGATTGGCTCACTCTCTCTCCTCCCCCATCATGGGTGGACACTCCCCCTACTGCTGATTGGCTCACTCTCTCTCCTCCCCCATCATGAGTGGACACGCCCCCTACAGCTGATTGGCTCACTCTCTCTCCTCCCCATCATGAGTGGACACTCCCCCTACTGCTGATTGGCTCACTCTCTCTCCTCCCCCATCATGAGTGGACACTCCCCCTACTGCTGATTGGCTCATTCTCTCTCCTCCCCCATCATGAGTGGACACGCCTCCTACAGCTGATTGGCTCACTCTCTCTCCTCCCCATCATGAGTGGACACACCCCCTACAGCTGATTGGCTACAAGTGTGTTGTGCTGCTCGGACCAATCCACTTTCAACAGCGTTTCTCAGAAATTGCTTACTGCACCTTTATCTCCTGACAGTGCGAAAACTGTTTCTGGCTCCAAGCCTCTACTCAGGTTCAAATGAGAACACTATCTCAACACAGCGTACACTAGTCTCGAGCAGCAATCAGCAGAATAATTACACAACACAAAGAAAAAAAATGGTGCAGAGATGAATCCAACAGGATGAAAATAATGAAGCACTGCATGAAATAAAAGCCAACTGTATCTGCATGGGGTATCCATGTATGTATTTATTGACTATAAATGAATCTCAAAAACAGCTTGATTAAGAGCAGAGAAGGAACAGAGATGGGGAAAGAAAATTATGTTTTTACCAGTAACACAATGAAGTCCCAATAGTTAAGGTTAGTTGGTTATCTGAGAGCCGAACACACTCAGGTAATTCACACATGCGCTAACCTCTCTTTCTCTCTCTAATGACCGCTTAGTCTTCAACTCTGCGTAACAATGGCTGAAGTTTATCCGTTACAAACTCTAAATGACGTTTTGGAATTAGAATTAGAATTTCTAGAATTAGAATTTCTAGAATTAGAATTAGAACAAGCGTATAATTGACTATGATTATTAATAAAAAAACACTATTATTTCTTACTTAACTAACAATGAGCAAGTGCATTTGCTACAGTATTTATTAATATTTGTTAACGTTAGTTGTTAAAAATACAACTTCATTATTAGTTCATGATTAATTAAAGTTGGAATTAGCATTAATGATTATTAAATGCTTTAGATGTATTCTTCACTGCTAGTTCATGTTAACTAATGAAGATAATACTTTTTGGTCTCACATTTTTAACCTTCTTTTGGGAACCACCTGTTCAAAGATGCTGATAACTTCCTCTTTGT